AGTCCTGCTTTACAGTAGTCCAGGTTTTGTCCAGGTTTAGTCCTGCCTCAGTCCTGCTTTAGTCCAGTTTGAGTCCTGCTTTTCTGCTTTGGTGCAGCTTTATTCCAGCTTTAGTCCATATTTAGTCCTGTTTTAGTCCTGCTTTAGTCCAGCTTCAGTCCAGCTTTAGTGTGCGTGCATGTGGATCAGATCTGGAGTAAGTAGATGGAAGTCCAGTTTAAACTCGCACATTGACGAACATCACTGGAGACTTCTTTGAACCTTTACTGGTTTGCGATGGCAGACATTTAGTGGGTCGACCCGGGACCATGGGGGGTCCGCTCCGGAGGCACGGCCGCCCACTGAGATGAGATGTTCTGAGCGCACAGAACCAGAGAGCGAGACGGAGCCACGAGGAACAACCGCATAATTAAAGTCAGATTTTTTTTTTAGAGGGAGAGAAATCCAGGAATCAGGTAAATGGACAAAAACAGCAGGAGGTCTGAGAGTGTGCAAAACCAGAGTCAAAGATAGAACTCGTTTGGAGGAAGACGAGGTGAGACTTCTGATGGGTCTGAGGACAGGAAGTTTATATATATAGCACACACATGGATGGATGGGTGGATAGAAAAATAGATAGAGAGAGAGAGAGACAGAGAGGTATACAGATAGAGAGAGAAAGATAGATAGATGGATAGATTGATTTGTAGGTCAGTAGCGAGAGGGACCAGAGAGATAGAGGGAGGGATAGAGAGACAGAAAGAGAGAGATATAGATAGATGAATGAATGGTAGATGTAATTTTACCTGGATGCAGTTCATTTTACATCTATTTTTTTAACTGTCCTCAATATTTAGAATATTAAAATATATTATCTCCTCAACTCACCATCCTATTCACTTAGAAACATTGCCGGTGTTCTGTCGAGTTGGTCTGCCCAACGAGATGATCTCCCTCAGATGTTAATGATGTAATGCAAACCTGCGCTGCGCGTCTCACGGCAGCCGAAGCAAACTAAGATGGCGGACACAGTAGTACGTGAATTGCTTTAAAAGTTAAAACACGAACGAATATAGACACGAATGTCACTTTTGATGCAATTTGAGGCGAGATGTTGATGGTTCCGCGTTGTGATATGTGGGTTTTAAGTAAAGTTTGTTTTAAGCAGTCCACTGCTCATGTGAAACTACACTGCTAGTGTCCCCAAATCTGACTTGCGCATGGGCAGAAACCCGACAGAATGGGGAAAAAACTCAATCTAATTAAATATTTTGTTTGAACACACCCATTGTTAATCATATTGAATACAGTATGATACATGCATAAAATGTAATTTATTATTTCCATTATCAACCTGACAGACCACTCACAGGACGCGTCATGGGCCTACGTAAGTAAAAAAACTTTACACAAAACTCTTACTCTTAAAACACACATTTCACAACGTGGAATCATCAACATCTCGCCTCAAATTGCATTAAAAGTAACATTTGTGTCTTAATTCGTTCGTATTTAACTTTTAAAGCAATTCGCGGACTCCATGTCCGCCATCTTGGTTTGCTTCGGCTGCCGTGAGACGCGCATGCGCAGGTTTGCATTACATCATTAACAGCTGAGGCAGCTCTCAACGGGCAGACCAACTCGACAGAACACCGGCTTTACCCTTTCTGTTCCAAGAATCCATAAAGAAGTCCAACGCAGATCATTTCCATACTGGTCCATCTGAATGTTGTTTTGCGGTCTGAGTCCTGGATCTACAGCCCGTCCGTCCATGGGCGCGAATCCCTCTCTCAATATGCGTCTCTCCGAGGTTTCCCAACTTTTCCCAGTGGGTTATTTTAAAAAGTTGTTTCTTGACGTGGCTGGAGTGTCCAAGGACAGTGGTGATGATCCTGGACACTCCACATTCAACAACATTTATGGACATTGGTCATCTGTCCCTTATGGACCAATGGCTCTTTGTGTTTTGATTGACTGTTTGATTCTCTGATCTGTGTTGGTAAATTCAACGCTTTTGTTAACTCATCTGAGATAAATACAGTTGAGATTTAGGGGGCCATACAAGAAAACATTGAACTGAATTGGGCTGTTTTAAAAGGGTTTTACAGCTGCTTGCTTATGTTCAAGTTTTCATATATTTTCTTGTTTAGAATTAGAAAATTAAGCAACAGGCTATGAAACAGTTGGTTTTAATGCTGATTATATTATAGCCAACCCTTGTTTTATTTATGTACTGGGGGCAAATGTATTCCAATGTGGTTTTACTGCAAATGGCAAATAAAATAGATAGATAGATAGACACTTCATTGATCCCCTGTTGGAGAAATTCAGGTGTCCATAAGGAATCTGAATCTGAATAAGGTCAGTGAGAATGTACGTTTTTAAAGACAAATTCAAAGGCTCCCTCAGGTCCCTATCTACCTCTGTTAGTAGCCTTTTTTACCCTCTGTAATTGTTTCGACATGTACTGTATTTTACTAATTACTTGTAATTCTAAAACATGAAATGACACAATAAAACCTCTCATTATAATGTTTAATGATTAAAAATAACACATAACATTTCCTCTTTGATCCAAAATTAAGAACTCTCGTTGGCTCTGACCCGTCTCTCTCTTTGTCTCTCTCTTTGTCTCTCTCTCCGTCTCTCTCGGTCCCATAAACAGTGATTGATCCGCCTCCTCTCTGCACACCTCCGTCCATTACCTCTCCTTTCTCCCTTCATTACCCCCTCTGCTGGCCATAAATCGTGGTACCTTTATCACCGGGCCCTGGATCTCACTCCTCCGCACTCCCCCACCTCACATCCATTCTGCCTTTTTATTAAGGACCCACTGACTTTAACAAAGAGAAGAATGATATGCAAAAACTGAGTCACAGCAGGAGTCCAGTCACTTATGTTTATTAGCAAATTTTCTCCTGAGCTCTAACTTTGAAAGCTGATAGATCTGCGAATCCAATCAGAATTCAATATACAGTAATTGCATATAGCGATACAGCAAGGATTGTGATTCGATTCTGTGATATATTGCGACTCGTTTGCCTCATATTATTCAGAGACATTACAAACATGGAGGAGAATCCGACTCAACTCAAACGTCACATTTTTTATGAAAATATAGTGCAAAACCTGAGAACTGGACTAATGTGATGGTACTATAGCTGCAGTTTTTGAGCAATTCTCGTTCTCCTTGGCGTCTCCTCTGCTGTGAGTGACTGATGGACACTTGTGTGAATGAGGAGTTATCTTGATTCGCCCGGAGCTCGAGCGTTAAGATAACATCGGCCGCATCCCATTCCCAATTAACACCGCTCCTCCTCTCTGATCCCTATCTGCTCCTGCCTCCTGGTCCCTCTGTGTGTCTCTCTATGGTTTCTCTCTGGTCACTCTCTCTGGTCTTTCTAGTCTCTGCAGCTTCTGATAACTCACAGGGATATTTCTGATGTGGCAGTACACATTCAGGCCATGGCATCTGCCTCTGCTGTTTGTGGAACTGGGTTGAAGCCTCTCCTTCTCTCCTCAGTTTGTCTAATCTTCTGTAATCGGAGTTTGTGAGCGGAAAGTAGGTCGCTGTTGTCGACTCCCCGCTCGGAAAGAAGACTTCAGTTGTGTGCTGTGCGTCAGTCAGTCATTCAGCACCTATGGTGTCTCTCTTGTCTCTCCAGGGTTTCTCTGGTCTCTCTCTCTGGTCTCTCTCTCTGGTCTCTCTCTCTGGTCTCTCTCTCTGGTCTCTCTCTCTGGTCTCTCTCTCTCTGGTCTCCCTCTGGTCTCTCTGTGGTCTCTCTTGGCCTTTCTGCTCTCTCTCTCTGGTCTCTCTGTGGTCTCTATTGGCCTTTCGGGTCTCTCTCTCTGGTCTCTCTGTGGTCTCTCTTGGCCTTTCTGCTCTCTCTCTCTGTGATCCCTCTCTGATGTCCTTTGATCTATTTCTGTGGTCCCTCTGGTCTCTCTCTGGTCTCCTCTGGTCTTACTCTGTGGTCTCACATTGATCTCTCTCTCTGGTCCCCTAAAGCCTGGTTCACACGGCAGGACATTTAGGCCGATTTAGACCCGATTTACCCCTTACGACAATCTTAAGAAACGCTCCGATTTCCGTAACAAAATCTTACAGATTATCCTGCCGTGTGTGGTGTGTTAAGACTGCACTCGTCGCTCGGAAGGACATCGGGACTGCTCCCAATCTCAAATCGGGGATATCCAACATGTTGGATTGTTTTGGCCCGATTTCTTGTCGTGTGTGGTTTCCTCCGAGGACAAGCGAGCGCGTTGCCATGACTACGGCGTGTAGCCATAAAGAAGACGAGGTGACAAGCCGGTGAGGAAACACCGGAAAAAAACCAAAACACAGCAGCATGGCTTTGACCATTGCCATTTCTTTGGAACTGCACACTATCGCCACTGCATCCTCTTCGTCCGCCATGACTGTTTACTCTGAAGTCACGCTTGATCTCGAGAGATTTTGTGAGATTTCCGTCTGACCTGGGAATGCTCGGGGGGGGGGGTGTCGGTTCGTGTGTGATGTTTGTGGCTTGCGTGATCTTGCCGTGTGGCTACGCACCACACACTGCACGACCAAAGTGGTTAGACGCAGGATTTTTAATCTCCCCGTGTGGGGTCTAACACGGAGAAAAATCGGCCGACAATTTTAAAATCGTCTCGTGTGAACCAGGCTTAAGATGTTTTGGATGGAAGATCTTTGAACAATAACCTTCTGTCTATCTTTTGGGGCGCAAATTTGACAGGATTGGCATCAAAATTCTTGTAAAATGTCACTTGACAAAACTTGTAGCTATCACCGTGCAAGAATAAGGAAGACGTTTTTTTCTGATTTTGGATGCCACCTCAACCCCAACTCAAGAAGTTTGCAGTCTATAAAACCCATTTGGATTATCCAAAAAAAAGTTTATGTTTAATCAAATGTGTCATGAGCAGTAGTAAAAAGCTTAATTTATCTGGAGAATGTGGTTTGAAAGTCTTAAAACATTTGCCAATGCTGCAAGTTTGAGAAAGCATTTGGAAAAGCGATGAGGTGGGATGTGATGGCGATGATTTGAAGATGATTGGAATTCTAATTTGGGAACGATTTAACACTGTGAAACCTGCAACACTCACATTTACTCCTTTTCCAAACAACCGGCCTGTGTTCAAACGCCCACTCTCTGAATTACAGTCATTATCGCCGATGTTTTCCTTCTCGTTAGTCTCTGCATCTCATTGGTATAAACGGATCACAGAAGAGACCACACAGTGTAATTAACAACTTGCCTCAAAAAAACAAGAATTGCATTTAGGTCCACTGTAAAAAGTGATGAAAAATAAGTCCAAACTCATTCCAATGTTGCCAAAATGTATCTTAACTTGAGCACACTCAGATTAAAATAAAAACCACTTGATTCAAGCAGTTATTAACAAATATTTTATCATTTTTTGTAGGTTTGAACCATATTACAGGCTATTATCTTTGGAAAAAACCAGTTACCAGTTGAAAAAATATTCATCTGGCTTCCAAAGAAAGATAAAACGAATGAAAATGGGAATATAGATCCAGGACTGAGACTGCAGATCCAGGACTGAGTCAGTAGATCCAGGACTGAGGCTGTAGATCCAGGATTGAGGCTGTAGATCCAGGACTGAGGCTGTAGATCCAGGACTGAGGCTGAAGATCCAGGACTGAGGCTGTAGATCCAGGACTGAAGCTGTAGATCCAGGACTGAGGCTGTAGATCCAGGACTGAGGCTGTAGATCCAGGACTGAGGCTGTAGATCCAGGACTGATGCTGTAGATCCAGGACTGAGGCTGTAGATCCAGGACTGAGGCTGTAGATCCAGGACTGAGGCTGTAGATCCAGGACTGAGGCTGTAGATCCAGGACTGAGGCTGTAGATCCAGGACTGAGGCTGACCTATTTTCCATGTTTTTAGTGGTGCGGGAAACCAAAGCTGTGGACTAATTGCTCCTAAGTGTTTGTTTTTGTTGCACTTGAATATAGTAATAATTGTAATAATTTTACTTTTGAATTTTTCCTGTTTTAGAAAATGTTATACTTTAGAAATGTTTTGCCGTATTCCTTCTCTACTCTTGACTTGTTTGTACCAAGAGCCAAAGCAATTTCCTAGTCTGTGACTTCCTGTTACTTACATGGCAAAAAAAATGATTCTGTTTCTGATTTCCTGTGTTATGATCACAGATATAGTCAAAGTCGGTAGAATTGATTGCACAAGGAGGAGGCCGGTCCTTGTGCTCCTTTAGAGTCTGAGTTGGTTCATATGTTACTAACATGTCACAGATGTACTTTGGTGCAAGGCCATGGAGAGACTTGTAATAAACAGAGCTGCTTTAAAGTCTATTCTCTGAGCCACAGGAAACAGAGACCTGAGACCGGGACTAAAGTTATGGTACTTCCTGGTTTTAGTCGGGAGTCTGCAGTGTTGTGAATATACTGCAGCTGTCTTACCTCCTTCTCTCACTGAATAAGGGGGAAACACTGCTCTACACCTAGAATTGCAGGTTTTTCTCTTGTGTCTCCACAGTCCACAGTAGTAATAGTGCAGCGGATGCAGCTCTTCTGCTCTTCCAGCACATTTCAAACCCAGGCATAAAAATAACTGCGCAGCATTCACGTCAGCATATATGACGACTATCTCTGCCAACATGTGGACGCACACCGGAAAACTTACACATTCAACACATACATATATATTTATACGCACAGACCCACACACACGCACACGCACGCACACACACACACACACACGCACACACACAATGCAGTGAGAAGACTTACATGAGGTTTAAAGCTGGTTCAAATGACTTAAGGGTCAAATAGAATCAGAAATATTGTGGGGGATGTGAGCATTATATTTTGGTTTGGGTTAAATACTTCCTTAAAGGAGATTTATAATTCACAGCATTTCAACCATGAGATTCAGTCTATGGACAGTGGTGATCGGGAACATTTAAGGACATTTCCTAACATTTTTGGACAGTGACTATCTATCTTACAATACATCTCTTCTTGATATTTGGCCCAGTTCTGGTTGAGTCCAAAACTAATAGAAAAATTCAAAGTCATGACAAAAATATGAAGAAAATTAACGCTTTTATACTTTTAGCTTCAACGAACTCTTATGTTTTTAGAATGGGTCCCTAGAAATGATTTTCCAAGGACAGTGATGATCCTGAACATTATGGATCAATGGCAAAAAATAAACTGATTTGAAATGGAATGGTGCTTGATATAAAACCTGGATAGTGCATGGTTAACACTGGTCCCTAAATTGTCCCTGTGTGTGTTGCAGGTACATCCACACCTTGTACCTTGGAGCTCAGAGCCGGTGGCAGAGCAGCAGACCCCGGAGACACTTCCACTGGAGGCTGATGTTCGAGAGCGCTGACATCACCATGCTCCGCCTCCTGGAAGCGTTCCTCAAGTCGGCTCCTCAGCTCGTGCTGCAGCTCAGCATCATGATCCACGGCAACAATGTGCTGCCGCTGCAAGGTCACAATCTGTTTACCTTAGAGAAACCAGAGAGAAACCAGAGAAAGACCACAAAGATACCAAAGAGAGACCAGCGAAAGACCAGAGAGAGACCAGAGAGAAACCAAAGTGAGACCATGCAGAGGCCAAAGAGCGACCAGAGAGGGAGACCAGAGAGAGACCAGAGAGAGAGCAGAGAGAAAGACCAGAGAGAGACCAGAGTGAGACAAGGCAGAGGCCAAAGAGTGACCAGTGAGTGAGACCAGGCAGAGGCCAAAGATTGACCAGAAAGGGAGACCAGAGAGAAACCAGTGAGAAACTAGTGAGAAACCAGCGAGAGACCAGAGAAAGACTACAAAGATACCAAAGAGAGACCAGAGAGGGAGGCCAGAGAGATACCAGAGAGAGACCAGAGAGAGACCAGAGAGAGACCAGAGAGAAACCAAAGTGAGACTAAGCAGAGACCAAAGAGCGACCAGAGAGAGAGAGACCAGAGAGAGACCAGAGAGAAAGACCAGAGAGAAAGACCAGAGAGAGACCAGAGAAAAACCAGAGAGAAACCAAAGTGAGACCAGGCAGAGGCCAAAGAGTGACCAGTGAGGAAGACCAGAGAGAGACCAGGCAGAGACCAAAGAGTGACCTGAAAGAAGGAAGACTGTTCCAGATTTTAGCTGCATAAATCTGAAATGCTACCTCACCATGTGTGAGGCATTAAAACAGTTGTAAGTATGTTGCTGTATAACAAAGATAACTTAGTTACTTTGTGGCAGTTGAGGTTGGACCAGAGGAGTGATCCGGCCTCCACTTTTCCCGTCCAAACGCAGTGATGGTGCTCTTGTCTCTCACTGCAGGTCTGTCGGCCTCTGCCTCACTGGTCTCGCTGGCCTGGATGATCGCCTCGTACCAGAAGGTGCTCAGAGACTCGCGCGACGATAAGCTGAACATGTCGTACAAGGCGGTGATCGCGCAGATGCTGTGGCACTTCTTTACCATCGGCGCTCGGACCGTGGCCTTCGCGCTCTTCGCCTCCGTCTTCCAGCTCTACTTTGGCATCTTTATCGTCAGCCACTGGTTAGAGTCACACACCACGCTAATAATAATAATGATGATGATAATGCATTGGTTTTATACAGCGCTTTTTTGGACACTCAAAGACTCTTCACATGTCGTTAATCATTCATTCATTCATAACTGAAATCTCTACCTGAAATCCTGTTTGTTTGTTTTTTTTCAATCTAGCTGTCTGTCTCATTAACAGCTTGCAGCTCAACGATTGATTTGTGTTATAGTTATAAAGTTATACAAAATTATACATATAATATAGATGGTTTTAAATTAAATATTGCTAACTACTGTTGAAAAATAATATCTATTTCAAAATATAATTACTGCGAACATCCAGAAATACTTTATATGTCTGGCAACTTTTATCATACAATAATACTAGTCTAGAATCTGGCTCGAGGCACCAGCAGGCCAGTCCCTGTGCTCCTCAGAGTCCCAGTAGGAGGCCAGTCCCTGTGCTCCTCAGAGTCCCAGCAGGAGGCCAGTCCCTGTGCTCCTCAGAGTCCCAGTAGGAGGCCAGTCCCTGTGCTCCTCAGAGTCCCAGCAGGAGGCCAGTCCCTGTGCTCCTCAGAGTCCCAGCAGGAGGCCAGTCCCTGTGCTCCTCAGAGTCCCAGCAGGAGGCCAGTCCCTGTGCTCCTCAGAGTCCCAGTAGGAGGCCAGTCCCTGTGCTCCTCAGAGTCCCAGTAGGAGGCCAGTCCCTGTGCTCCTCAGAGTCCCAGCAGGAGGCCAGTCCCTGTGCTCCTCAGAGTCCCAGCAGGAGGCCAGTCCCTGTGCTCCACAGAGTTCCTACAAGAACATGGAGAGACTTGTCCACAAACTGGAGGCACAATATCTAATTTAGACTTTAGTTTTAAAAAGCCAAATCTGTTTGTGTCATTAAGTGTACCACATGTCTAACTTATTTGTACAGAAGATACGTGTTTGTGCTAATTTGTGACAGAATTTCCTGGTGTAGTATTAATGAAGCTACAGCTTATGTCAAAAATATATTTTTTGACTAGAAAACTCAACAAAAAAAGTGTTATTTTAGTTGTTGGTACATCATGAGTCATGTTCTCTGTCATATCACCCTACATTTAAAATATATCTTTAATGATTCCTGACAAAATGAAACAAGCAAGTGATGGACCAGAAACCAGAGAGACCAGAGACAGACCAGAGAGAGACTAATGAGAAACACTATAAATCTGCAATATCAATTAGACACTTAAACATTACATCTTTATTCTACTGATTAGAATGGATGCATTCTAAGATCTGGAACAATCTCCCTGAAAATGTGAGGGAGGCGTCTACTCTGTCAATGTTCAAATCCAGGTTAAAGACTGTTCTGTTTGCCTGTGCATACAACTGAAGGATTTTATCTCCATTTCTAATGCACTGCTGTCATTTATTTATTTGTTTAAATTTCTTGTGTAATTTTGAAAGTTTTAATGGTTATATTCTTTTGTGTGATTTTAATGTTTTAATTGTGTTTTAATCTTTTGTGCGATTTTAATGTTTTAATTGTGATTCTGGTGTTTGTTTTATGTGATGATTTGTGATGTGGACTGTGAAGCGCTTTGTGTTGCCCTGTGTATGAAAGGCGCTCTACAAATAAACTTTGATTGATTGATTGATTGACATTAGTATTAGCAGCTGTTTGTGTTATGAAAACTATTATCCGGGCCACTAGGCAGTAGATGCTTCTGACAATGAATAGGTCTTGTGAGCAGTAAGTTTATTTAACCTCTGCAAATGAAATAAACAAATCCACGGTGTAATGCTCTCCTTTATTTGCACCCGCAGAATAATAATGTTTGCAAACAGTGGTAATATTCCAATGCTGCTATTTTTAAACCTATCTCAGCAGAACGGAGCTGCTCTGCTGCCTCTAACTCAAACCTGCACCAAACCTCATAATTCTGAGACGCGGTGAACGTGGTGTGAAAGAGAGCGTTTTTAAAATGTTCCTATTTCAACCATGATTGTTAACACTAGGACCGCCGTGCTCTAAACATACCTTGCACCGCCCCCTGCGGTCAGTTGACCGCTATGTATTTTGCGCTGATACAGCCTTTTGCCAAATTGATTGTTCACTAAACCAGAATTTGTTGTTGCAAGGAAATCGTGATCATAATGAAACTGTGTAAATTATTTGTCTAAATATGCTAAGTAATTGTAATTCCAGCCGAAATAAAAAAAAATTACGAAGACTTTTCTGGCTAGATTTATTTTGTAACTTTGCAAACACGTAAAAGGTCGGTCACTATATGTTAAATTTGACTCAGTAACAATATGTCAATTCAAACAATATAAATGATAGTTTAGAAAAGCACGGGACCATAACGTCTTCGCGCTGCTGTATGCGTCTGCTTCTTACGTCATCTCCAGACTGTTTTCTCTTTCCAGCCGAAATCACTGTGGGAAATATTATCTCGATAATAATAATAGTATTCGTATTGACACAAGATCATCAGCTAGGCTACCATCGTCAACGTACAATCTTCAATTTTACACGGGACACGTTATATATATATATTTGTATTTATTTGAGACAAGCAGTGCTCTTTATGATCAGAAGAAAATTATAATCATTGCCTTGCAGTGCGCGCTGTGCAGAATAACACACAGTGTTATCTGAATGAAATAAGAAAGATATCCTTATTGATATGATGAGGGCCGCTTCTGACCCACAGTCGCTCTCCTCCTGCAGGTGTCCGCGGGTGACGAGAGGCCTCACAGCGCTCTATCTGCACTCTGCCTTGATAGTTCATCTAATTGTTCTATTTTATTGCGATATTGTATTCTGCTTTATTGCCTTCTTCTATATATAAATATAAGAATGTAATTGATGATGAATGAAAAGGCAGAATGGAGCGACAGCGCGCACACAGACACCTGCGTATGGCTGGCATTACGCGGGTCATGTGCGTTATTGCTTCTGGACTTGTTCCAACACTGCTGTCCGTGCCGTGAATGCACTACGGGTTTACGTTCAGATTTAGAATATTATAAGTGTTCTCCCCGCTGTGACATCTCACCTCCGTCAGACTGTTCTCATTCAATGTCTTGAAGCACTGTCAGGGCTTCATACCGTGTACTTGCAGCTCTATTCATGTTGTACTCCTCTCAATTCAAAACTCTTTCTCTCTCCCAAATAAAAACCTCAAGTCCCTTTAGAGTCTAATGACAACATATTGATACATTTGTATAAGGCGCGAAAAACCCCCGGGAAAGGTTACTATGACAACAGTCGCCCCTGCGCCATGTATCTCCATGGGGCAGCAGAAAGGGCTGTGGTTTAGAAAAGTTAAAATGCGTGTAAATCTTGTTTTCTTTACTTTTTCCAAAAACAAAACACACCAAAATATAAACAACAAGTACCCAGTAAAAGTCATAAAATTTCAACTTCTGGCGTTTTGTTTTGAATACACTAATTAGCATATTAAAGTGAGTGACGGTCAGTTGACCGCTAGGGGCGCTCCTAGTGTTAATGAAAATAATGATAATAATAATGATGATAATAATGCAATGGTTTAAAACAGTGCCTTTTTTGGAAAGATACTTCAAATCAGTCATTCAGTCAACATTGTCACAGCTGCCCTATGGAACACTGACAAAAGCAAGTCTACTATTCTGTGCCAACAGCCCCGCCCACCACCACCAACCATTCACACACACACTAGACTCATTCCAAGGTGGAGGAGTGTCTTGCCTAAGGACACTACAACAATTTGGCACTTTACAGCCAAACCTACCCCACCCTTCCCTGCTTGGCTTCAGTGGTCAGGATTTCACGCACATGCACCGCCACATGCGGGTGGATCCACAAAATTTCGATAGATTGTGGAGTAATCTACGTAGTACAGGACCTCCATTGGACAAACCAGATTTAAAGAAGAAATTTACGGATTATTATTAGCAAATAACATGATATTACTAGTAAAATACAAGTAATTTGGGGAGAATACTGCCTAGTACCAGGAAGTCCCATCACATTTGTCCGGGTCTCAGGTCTCAGCTTCCTGTGGCTCAGAGAATAGACTTTAAAGCAGCTCTGTTTGTTACAAGTCTCTCCATGGCCTTGCGCCAAAGTACATCTGTGACATGTTAGAGCCATATGAACCAACTCTGAAGAGTACAGGGACTGGTGTGTGTGTGAGTGTATGTATGAATTTACTGTGTCTTTCTTGTTTTGTGTGCACTTTAAGTTGTCTTGTTTATGAAATCTGCTGTAATGTTGCAAAACTGTTCAAAAAGCTAAAAGTTGATTTGGCTTAATAGGACACAACCAAAATGGCAGAGGCTAAGTCAAACTTATCAAACCAAGCATTAACCAATGCCTATTTAGTGTACCCCAACACTAACCCACTTGGGAAAGTGTCAGTTAGTAGTAAGGCCATGTAAAATAAGGATTAAAAAGTGGCACAGAAAAGCGCTATAAAATAATCTATGTATTATTATTAATATCAAAGTTACCATCTCCAACGACCAGCAAAGCATTTACCATCGATCTTCTTCCCAGGTGCGTCATGACCTTCTGGATCATCCAAGGCGAGACCGACTTCTGCATGTCCAAGTGGGAGGAGATCATCTACAACATGGTGGTGGGCATCATCTACATCTTCTGCTGGTTCAACGTCAAGGAGGGCCCCAGCCGCTTCCGCATGACCGTCTACTACTCCGTCACCCTGGCCGAGAACGTGGCTCTCACCGCCGCCTGGTACACCTACCGCGGGCCTCACACTTCTGACTCCTCCGCCCTGGTTGTGGTCTGCCTGGTCGCCTGCAGTTTTGCGTTGGGGACCTTCTTCATGCTGGTGTACTACTGCTGGCTCCACCCGGATGGCCCTGTGATTGGCTCTCAGTGGGGAACGTGCGTGGATGAAGGTGTGGTTGGTGCTGGTGGAGTCGCCGGTGTCATTGACGCTTGCCTCACCCCTTCGCAAGGCTCCCAGACGGACATGGTCATCACAAGCCCGCCAAGAACTTTGCCCAGAACTAAGGGGGACTCCGGGGAACCCACTCCAGGCGATCGGGACAGTTGCTTGCCCGTGTTTCAGGTGCGACCTTCTCCTGCGTCATCTCCGGCTTTGCTTCATCGGAGCTCGTCTGCATCTCGCCAGGAGGGTCCGGTGATTCGGATTGACCTCCCCAGGAAGCGCTACCCGGCCTGGGACGCGCACTTCATCGACAGGCGGTTGCGGAAAACCATTCTGATCCTGGAGACGACGTCCGCGGTTAGCCCAAGGATTCAGTATCGGAGTAGCTTGATGGGCAGCAAAGAGGTCTTAGAGTACGAGACGACAGTTTAAGCTTAAAAAGCGTGGGTTGTAAAGATACTAAGCTAACGCCCGCAAAGACTTCGCTAGAGAAGGAGGCAAGGGTTAGCACACGTCTTTTGAATTACAAGATCGAGGGTGTTTGATTGTAAAAAAAAATGTGACGTGCAATCGTAGTGCAAGGTTCTTGTGTCTTACTAGGAAGGCGTCGAGTTGATTGGATGAGTAAGAAGTAAGAGGTGAGAGGAGCTTTTCTCTCTGACCAGAAATACAGTATGAATGAAATTAGGAACCGCAATGCCTGCTTGAGTGGGTTTCATAAGCAGCCTGATGCATGATTTCTAGCCATGTATTCTTGAAAACAAGCAAAAAGTTGTGTTGAGAATTGAAATGATGAACGGTCTTTGTAGACAATGAATTAGTTCATTTTGAAAGAGGTATTAACTTAAGTAGTAATACGTTTGGGCATTTGTTTCAGTTATCCTTGGGGTTGCCGGTTGTATATCACCAACAATTGGCCTTAGGAGAAGAGAGGTGCGCCCACGCCAAGGCCAAAAAGTCACAGGGCTTGCGCAGTTAAGGCTTGCTGGTTGTGAGGCGAGATTTCACCAAAACTCCATAACTTTTAGCCGGAAAAAGAGAGGAGTTCAGAATATGTATACTGATACATGCCATATAGAAGGAGTTTGAGTGACTAATTCAACTAATGTTCAAAAGGTGTGCAATACATTTACAAGACATTATCGTTATTATTTGGAACTAAATCTTGCCCAGTCCCACAGAATCGCCTGACGATAATTGGTTGGTAAGCAAAACCAAATCTCAACTCCCAACGAGTGGCTCTTCTATATACATTTACAGTAATGTCTATTTGTCTGGTATAGAATAACCAAATCCACTAAGAAGACAATATTAACCTTCCTAAACAATCAAGAGACCATTGAGAGTATTTAACATTGAAGATGGATTGAAATAGTTTGTTTTTTCTGCTTTTGAAATTAAGTTACATTGTTTTTTCCAAATAGTAAACGTCTGAAAGTCAGGATAAGGTCCCTTGTTCAGGCCTACGGAATCTCCTGACAGTAATAGGTTGGTAAGCAAACCTTATCTCAAGACTTCAAACGTGTGTGTGCCAAAAGCGATAAATGTGTCCAACCACTAACAGTTTTTGTATTGTTCTGGTAAAACGTAAAAAAGTGAGAGTGGGTCCGTTTACATACTAAGCATAGCACATCAGTACAAGTGCAGACTCGTGCATATGGACTTCAGATTTGTAATGTATCTAAGAAAACACAAGCTAAACCCTGGTTTTCTGCAGACCTTCAACCTCCGTCGCCCAAACCACAACAAAAAACACACACAACTACAACCTTCATGAAGCTGGTAACGCCTTGACCTCAGGTTTATTTCTAACATGACAATTACGAATCAAATGTTGTGTGTGAGTACACGTATATGGCAAACTATACTGTTGTGGACTGCACTCCTGTATATTGTGATTGCTGTCTCAGTCTCCAAAAGGTTAATTTTGGGTGAATCTGAGAGAGATGCATTTTACAACATTAGTGGGATGTAAAAATTCCAAATGCTGGCCACAAAACTGCTCCCTCTGCTGGACATTCCGGATAGGACATTCTCTTTGCTGGTTAAGATTATTACTCATGTTGTGACGATGCCAAATGTTTCAATGTAAATTTGGGGTCAACTGCAATTCTTGTACAGCATTACGAATGAGCACAAGTCCTGCTCCAAAGAAATCCCAGATGTTTTGAGTAGCATCAAGTAGTGCCAAGCAAAAAAACTGTTGTAAAAAATACTCAAAAGCACTTAAGGGTCAGCTCTTCTCCCTCAAATCCAGAGTTGAGACCACAGATGGACACTCTCGATGACTGAAGGACGGGCGGCGAAGAAGCTGACGAAGCGTGTTTCAATGCCGTTGATAAGACTTTGTGTCAACAGTGAATGGACTGATGTTGGAACAGCTGTGTGGCATGGCAGTGGTGCTCTAAATATACGTCAATCCTCATTATGTCGGGTTGGCAACAGGTCAATGTACAGAAAAATGAATATGTTGAATCGTCCAACCGTAGGGCATAGTCGCTCTTTCTGGTTGGATATATAAAAAGGGACAGTTTTGAGGTTAGAAAGAATGTGGTTCTTCATTTCAGTTCTATGTATTATTGTGTAGCCCTAAATCACAACAGTAGTGATTGCCTTGTGTCCAGGAAAAAGAGGTTCTAAAGCTCAATGGGATTATCCTGGTTGAATAGAGGTTAAATACAACATAGTTATCTTGGAGGACTTTGCAAAGATTCACCAACACAGATAGAGAATTAAACACATCAAACACAGGAAATGCAATGATAAAAACACAGACAGAGCCATTGGTCCATAAGGGTCGGATTACCAAAGTCCATAAATATAAAATTTTGAAATTTGGATTTCTTATCTTATCTTATTTTAAATGTTGTTGAATGTTGGGTGTCCTGGATCCTCATTGTCTTTAGATCCTCCTGCATCGACAACTCCAAAAACCCTTCTGTGTGGTGTTATGGATTGGCAAAGGACAGAACGTACTTCATCTGGCTTTGCACCAACTGGCTGCACGAACAAAATTATGTAATTTTGTTTGTACAGCTGGTATATTTCGCTCTATTTCCAGAGAAGACTACTTTGTGTTGATCGAAAAACAAACATAACAAAGAGAGACTGGGGAGAGGGGATCAGAGAGACCAGCGAGAGCACAGAAAGAGATCAGGGAGAGAAGAGACCAGAAAGAGAGAAACTAGACAGAGGCCAGAGAGAGACCTGAGAGAGAGACCTGAGAGAGAGACCAGAGAGAGATCAAAGAAGAGACCAGAGAGAAACTGATTGTCAGAAAGTACATTGCAGTGATTAAAAATTTCTCTCTCCAACAGAGGACTGGTCAGGGCTATGGGCCCAATAATTTTGCCAGCTCTTTATCCTTAAAAAGTTGGGTACCCCAGCCTACAATTATCGGTAATATCGTGTGGCTAATCTCAGTCCTTTGTTATTATACCCAACTTTACTTTTGTGTGTGATCTCTGCTCTCTCTGGTCTCTTTCTGGTCCCTCAGAGACGCCTACTTCTAAATGCAGAGAACCACAATAACACAACACAAAACTGTCCCTTTCCCGCAGTCTTTTGATGTAGAGGTATAAAAAATAGTGGTGCGCTGAGTATATATCGACTTGAATCAAAACATTTAGTGAGTTCAAAACTCTATCATCTTTTATTATTGATGCAAGTTCTTCTGTTGATTTATTTTTGTATTTGTTTTATATCTATTTACAATATTGTTTACACACTCGGTGGCCATGTCTTTGGTATGACTCTTATATTAAGATGTAAAAATGAAAAATAGATTTTTTTTACTCATTCTATATACTATATATGTGTACATACCAGAGTGGCGCTATATAGGAAGTGTATGTATGAGTATGTGTGCCTTGGTTTGTATGTATGTTCTTGTAAGTGCAGTATGTAAGTCTTTTTGATAATGCTGCTTCAACCGTCTGAGAGAAACAGACAGAAAATAAAACATGTGGTGAAACTATCTATGACAATGTAAAAAAAAAAAGTCCTAAAAAGCTGTACTGTAGTGGGAACAAAACGTAGTAAACCTGGCTCCGACGCCACCAAAGAAACGTGTCTCTTTATTGTGTCCGGAATACTGCACCACACTATGGAAAAACATCTGCTTTATCCGGAGCTGAGTGTCAGAGGCAGCCATCCTAAGGTACTCTAAAGCTAACTGAGAGACGTAACGCGTAAGGGCTCGATTCCACACAGCTAAATAAGATTGTTTTCACAGTCTCAGAAAAGCAAAAACATTTGAAAAAACGTTAGCTCTCTCGCTTTCCAGCCCCTTTCTCTTTCTGAGGGGGGTTTGCATGTTCTTCCTAGGTCTGCTAAGGTTTCCTTTTGGTAACTCTGATGGCACTGAGGAATGGGTCGAATGCATCTTCAGTTTATTTATCAATAAGCCCTAAATCTCAACACTAGTTATCTCTGAGGACAACCATTTATTTCTCCGACACAGATCAGAGAATCAAAGTTTTCAAACACAAGAAATGCAGTGAAAAGAATCACAAAGAGCCTTTGGTCCATAAAGGGCAGAGACCAATGTCCATAAATATCGATCATGTGAGAGACAAGTGAGAAACCTTGGGGAGGTAAGTGAAATAAAGTGACACTGTTATCCCATAGGCATTTGACCCAGGCCCAGATGTTGATGCTCTTTGGCCAGAGCCGGAGGATTCTTGGTCTTCATAACTTTTTCTGTATCTTTACTTTTAAAATGTGAGTAATTCTACCTTCAGTTGCAGTTGACAAGTTTTGGCTCTTATAAACTTTGAACCTTATAAATTACTTTCTAAACATTCTGTGGGGCAATTTCATTTGTTTTAATGGGAGCAGTCAAATTGACGGCTCTGAGAGTTCTAATAGTTTCAGAATTCTGGGAGTCCTGGTGCTAACGAACAGAAAGAGCTGAAAATACATTGGATTGCAGCTAACTTCCATCTATCCAAAATGACGTGCGCTGACATGCTTGCAATACCACCCCGGGCCGATGGGGGTGGACCCGGAGTAAGAATTAGCCAATGCTAATGTAAAGCATCTTCTTAGCTCTTAAAAACCTCTTTTCAGGATGGTCCAAAAGGCAACGTTCATTAATAATTACAGTATATGGGGAGAACATGCAAACTCTACTCAGAAAGCCAATGTCTGGAGGTGGAATCAAACCCATAACCTTTTTGCTGTGAAGCAGAAACGCTTCATTATGCGTTAATGTTTTGAGATTTTATACTTGCTACTATATAATATGAGGAGCGCGGAAGTGATGTTTGCTGCTTGCCTTGATGTGTATGTGTATATGTATATGTGTATGCATCAAACTGAAATATCCCCATAGTGGGACGAATGAAGGATCTTCTTCTAATATGCTTAATTCTATATTATAAAGACATTTAAAAGATGTTCTAAAATTTCACCCTTACCACTCTTCGACC